TTCGGTATTTATAAAGGATCCGCTCGTGTGACAACATAGCAACCACGGTCCCTGATGTCTTGAATCAAAGGCAGAGACATGTCACGCCAAACAAACAGTTTCCAAACGTGACACGTCCAACAAAACCGGTTTGCAACTCCACGTGTCCATGACTCTGTTGTCAAGCGCAACACCTTCGGCTTACAAAACAAATGAAAAAATCATCGGGCCAAGCATCGTACAGCATTCACAACAATGTAACCACTTTGAAAAGGCACAGCGGGGTCAAGCCCCGCGTCAACAAAGAGGCCCATGTGTGCGTGAGCCACGAGACCGGTGAAAGTGACCCCAAAGAAGGACTACTCAACAAAACATGTTTATATACATATATGTGAGGACCTTTTGATCCGCTTGTAAAGGGCCTGCAGTGCACATCAGGTGTGTGTCATCCTTGCGCAGGGGCGGAGTGGTTCTTTCCTCGCACTCCTCCTTTGAGTATGGAGCTTCAGTATATGCTCCATTTCCATGCTATGGTAGGTTCGAGCGTTGCTCTCATCTGATCGCCTTCCCTGTTCACCCCACCAGCGCTCCTCGAGCTGCTGGATATGTTGTTTGGCCCTTAGGCCTGATCTGCCCTGCGGTGTAGAGCTCACCAAGCTCTCGAAAGCCTGCACTCTGGATCCATGCCTTTTTGGCTTGGTAATCCAATGAATTATCGGTCACCACACCGCCGACAGCTCGGCTCTCTTCTGACGACGTGGCCATGCTGTCTTCTTCTGCTTCACTCTCAGGCTCACGCGGCTGCAAGTAGTTCACAGGGATGTTCACTACCTGCCGTCTCTCCGGGCTGTAGCTCTCCTTCATCTCCCATAGGTACATCTTGATCTCCTTGTCCACGTGTCCTCTCTTCCATTCTCTCACGCCGATCAAGCTCCTTCATGAGGTAAGATCTGGCTTCTTCTCTCAACTTGGCATAGTCCAAGGTCTTGTTGCTTTTCTGGAGATAGTCCCAATGTCGCCACTCACCGTCCTTGAACTCTGTCTCGTCCACATATCCATTCACTTTCACCAACCCTCTGTGGAGCTTTTGCATGTACATCATAATGGTCTTGTTCTCTTCTCGAAGCTCGCTCTCCACCGAGCTGATCACCATGCCATCCACTTTCTGGCTCTCTTGGACTTCTGTCATTTCATCTTTGAGGATTCCCACTTCTCTTTTCATTTGACGTCATTCACTCCATAGCACAATGACCATCACGCCCAAGATAAGGATCGCTACCATCACAAGGCCACAAAATGACCAGATCATCCATGAACTCCCGGTCGATGTGGTCTCCAGGCTCAAAGTAGTCTCACTTGGACATTGGTCATTGCTTTCCAGTGATGTAGTTCCTGCCACATGCTCAAGGCCCTCCAGCAGTAAGATCCTGTTCAAGAGCTTGCACGCCCTTCCTGGCCAACACGTTCATGGTCAGCTCCATGGACAGGCTGATTCGTGCCTTGCTCAATGGCTTCGTAATCTGCCACGTTCTTCACAGTCCCAGCAGGCTTCACTGTAAGCACTTCTTGTAGGACAGCATCTTGAATCCATAGGAGTTTGCCTGAGACACGTCGAAGTCGTCCAGGTCCTTTCCTATGGCATAGATGCACCGCAGCGGCATTGTCGACCAAACAGCAATGCTTCACTTCCTCGGCTGTTAGGAACTCTAGACATATTCGGAGGTAGATGCCATCCGCTGCAGCACTTACCAGCGAGTTCAACTCAGCCTCCGCTGAACTCAGGCTCACTGACTTCTGACTCCTGGATGAAGTTGCCACCACTACTCCATTGACAACGTGTATGGCAGCTGAGGTATTGACCTCCTGTGTCCTTTGGCCCCAGACCAATCACTGTCGGAAAAGGTCTCTAAGAGCCATCTTGCTTCATGGTCTTGGACAACTAGCCCTTGGCCAGGTTCACTCAACTCCAATAAGCTGTACTGTCCAATCGTGTACTTCAAATAGGCTTGTACTGGCTTGCTGAGGTAGGGCATGACATAGTGGACGCCAGCTCCTTCACCGTGTAGGCCACGTCTGGGCGCTCTTGCGATAAATAGATACCACACCCAACCAATGAACGGTATAGTCCAGCTAGTTCAA